GGTGGGTGGGTGGGTGGGTGGGTATCCAGCAAGGTGAACGGGTGGGTGTCCGGCCATGGTTGAACACAGTGGCGGAAAACGAAAAATATCGCGTTGGCGATGTTGATAAGATAATCGAATAGCACGTCAGTAGGTGGGTCTCTCTTCGCTTCTGAGACCACCCAAATACATGTAGATGTAGATCATTTTTGTCATATAGTTTCTTCTGTTGTCGCATCATCCTGCTGCCTTCGTAATGCCAGCCCATGACCGAAAAAAATCAAAATAGAGTGCAATTTCTGCCGTGACTTACAGGTAACGCGAGTACTTAAGTAAGTGAGTACTTCTTAGCTTCAAATTCTACAGACTACTCCATTTATCAAAATTAAGCAAGACGATAGACACAACTGCGCATTCTGATCATCTCGGCCTCGAGCTCCATACTCACCAAATCAGAGAGATTTTTCTACTCGAAGAAACGACATCAGCTGTAGGCTAGACCGCAAAGTAGTTGAAGTAGATCGCTCCCCCCGCGACGATGACTCCCGCTGCGATTGCCATATTCATCGGAGTCAGCAGGCCGCCGCTTTCGGCCGCTGCTGCGTCTCCCGAAGTTCCGGGTGACGCCGTCTCAGTCTCTTTATTTGACGCGTTATTTGTGCTGTTATCTACTCCGCTACTCTTTCCACTGCCGCCTGGGGCGGCCGTGCTAGAAGTTGTGGTCGTTGATGTAGTAGTGGTGGTCGTTGGGTCGCAGACGTTTGGGTCGTCAGGATCGCACCAGAGCGTGAGATGCGCGTTTAAAAACTTGCTACCGGACGTGCCCCCACGCTGGACTTGGACCGGCCGATGGTATATAAGACACTGGTAATGCTGGCCGCTGGAGTGGCGGGCGGCAAAACCCGCACACATGTGAGCCCCAAATTCGGCGCGCATATCGTCGCAAAGGCCCTTGCACTCTGAGAGCAGTGTCTCAATGCTCGAGAGCGTGTAGGGGTCTCCAGCACTCTGGGTCTGGGCTGCGTCTTCTCCGCCGTGGCACGACACTCCATCATCGGGGCCGCGCTTGTACGCTCCTGTCTCTTTTTCCCCGCTATGGGAGTTCATGTGCGTGCTGTAGCAGTCCTCTGCCGTGCAGGTTGGTTTCGAATCAGCAGGGCACTCGTAAATGCGGCTTGCCTGTGAGACACGAACCCGATGTCCAAATTCTGCGAGATTACTGTTGTCGCTGTCGTCGAGATGTTGCCACGGCGCCGTCGGAAGGTCCTCAATATCACGACCTGTCTGCATTTCCATTATCTCGTCAGTTGCAGGCACAGCGTGGTTCCCCTCCGGCTCCGAGACTGCGTGATCTCCTGATGTCCCGCCTGCAGCTCCAGCTCGTCCTACGCCAGGTGTACTTCGGTCCTGCATCCTACTTGACGAAGCTTGCTGAACAGTCCCCTGCTGCTCGCGATCTTGCAGTTCCTGGTCATCGACTTCAAAATCACCTTCTACTTCGCGCAGTCCCGACACCAATTTTCCTGGTCGCTCTTTTCGCATCAGAGGCTGCTGCGGTTCGACGTCCTCTGCCCCACCACCTTGCTCGATCTTCTCGCGTGGTCGTGGAGCAGAATCATCTGGTGCTGCATTTTTATCGCTGTCTCCTGGATTCCATGTCTTCGTGCTGTTCCCGTTGTCCACTGTTGAAAGTACACGCTTCTTCTTGATCTTGCCTCGCACGCTCCCGATCTCATCAATTTCGTGCAGAAAAGTAGTCGTGGAGCTGCTCCTCTCTTCGAACTCCGTGCGGACGGGTCGTGATACTTTATTCGCTGCGGAATCTCGAAGATCCCGGTCGATAGCCTTCGTTGCCACCACGACCTCCGAAGATCTCGCTACGTCCTCCTCGACGACACGAGGAATCGAAGTGGGCTCCAATTGGTTTCGCTGTGCTGGTACGCCGGCGCCAACTGCGTCATCGTTTAGTGTCTCGCCGCGACGACCAAATCGCGCTTCAGCAGCCTCTTTTTGAACTGGTCCCTTGTTCTCTACCGAAATGGCAGTCGCGACGAAGTAGGCTGATTCGTGAAGGATTGCGAGCGAGAGAGGGAAAAGTAATCGCATTGGCACTGAACAACGCTGGTTGCTCTTGTTGAACTGCTCGATTGAAACCACGTGGTGGTCTCTTCCAAGATGCAAGTCGAAGGCAGACCTCAAGGACCTCGATGCGAATGTTTTTTCAGTGTGGAAATCCGGATCTTCTGCGCCCGCGGATTAAATGAACAACCCTCACGATACTCACATAATCATACACGCGCTTGCAATTCTTTTGCCTTAAGCTGCTGAAATCGCATTGCAACCTCGCTGGAGTGCCCTCCTAGTTGATGCTCGTCATACATAGTACCACAGCACACGACTCCACTAGCGATAATTTTTTAAGTTGACATGCAATCGACGTTTCATCGTCGATCATCTCTCCGTTTCCTCAACTCGTGATGAAGATATCGGTCGAGACGCGATGCTATCAAAAACGGCGAAATCTCAACATCACAGGACAAAGCGACGAAGAGCGAATAGCTGCAGAACAGCAGAGGTATTCGGATTCGTGCCACTCAGTCAGCGAGAACATGAATCCTGAAAACAAGGAGCTCTGAGGTTGAGGTAGCACAGCAAGTCACTTCATATCTTCAGTCACTTTGCGAAATGCAACGGGCGACACTCCACCCCCACCGCCGCCGCAAAAGTGTTCCAACTCGTCGAGCAGGTCACTCGACTCTTCTTGTTCTGCGTGATCGTGGAAAAATTAGTTATTGCATTCGTTTATCTATCAGTATCATGTTGAGTGCATGATGCCAAAACTTCAAATTTTAAATCTGCTCCGCACTCCGCCAGGGCAGGTCGCAGTTCGCGAAGAACTCGGTCGGGTCGTTTTGCTGGTGCAACAGTTCCAAATCAAAGCCCTCCACGGTCTTGCTCTGCTCGTGCGGCCTCAAATCGCTCTCCCGCAACTTCCCGTGGACGCTGCCATATCAACTGTAAAAGTGTCTGGGTCTGGAAGATTGCAACTTGTCATGCTAAATCCGAATCATGCAGAAATCTGTGTTGCGTGAGTGCGAAAAGCTGTCCACTTTCGACCAACTTTGGAGGGAGTTTCTCATGCAGGATTGGGATGATAGAGACTTCGCAAAACCTGTCATGCTAGGTCGTGCATTCCAGACCTCATGGGGCATGGAAAATATGCATGACAAGTTCGCATCCTTCCAGACCCAGACACTTTTACTTTTGATATGCCACAGCGACAGGCCATGCGCAGCAGGACGTTCCACGAGCGGTCCAAGGATATGAAATGTAAAAATGTCTGGGTCTGGAAGGATGTAACCTGTGATGCGCATTTCAGAACACACAAAAATCTCTCATGCATAGGTAGCAAAAGCTACTCACTTTCTGTCACCAAAATGGGGGATTTGTCATGCGGGTTCGGCATTGCGGAAGCTTCTCGGGACCTGTGATGCTAGAGCTTCCATGCCAGACCTTCTGTGTCATGCAGAAACAGCATGACTCTTCCAGACCCAGACATTTTTACAGTTGATAAAGGACAAGAGCTTCCCATTGCCGACGATGACCAGCAGCTGGCGGGCGCGCGACAGCGCGACATTGAGCCGCTGCCGGGAACCGACGAAGCCGAGCATCATGCGAAGGTCCTGCTTGATCTCGTCGTCGAACTTCGAGCGCACGGTCGACATGAAAATCACGTCGTTTTCCTGTGTAGCGTTTCGTAGAAGTTTCTATACCGGGGGAAATCATTCAAGTAATAACAATCAGACAACATGATCCAGGAAGTCCGGAACTGCAAATCCAAATGCCATCTCCAACTTCTATCATTCATGGCGTAGCACCAACGGAAAAAAATTAGCTTTACTTATCCGAACAACGATTGCCGCAAGAAGTACCGATGATTCAACATAGATACCTGCCCCTGAAAGTTTTCCACACTTCCAATTTTCAGCGCAGCGGCGGCTTGCGGGTGCAGCTGGCGGCCATAGGCCATCCGTTTCGCCTTCAGCTTCATGACTTGCTTGTGATAGGGCGCAATGACGCCGACGCTCTGGGGCTTCAGAAACTGGCCCGTCGTGCCGCCGGGAAAGTAGTGCGGCGATCCCGGTAAGTGCCGCGGATCGCCCTCGCCAAACTCCTGAAACAGAGAGGTCAAATACTCCCACAGGGTTTCGATTTCCACATCGTTAAACCAACTCGGGCTGTTATCCTGTGTAAAAACGTACCCACACCAGAGTCAAGCTGGGAAATCCGCTAGACAAATCAGCCACCTTTGGTTGTTTCGCATTACAAGTTTGTCCTCGTAGTGTAATCCTGTTTAGCTAGTTCCGAAGCGTCACAGATCTAGGATATCATGCTGATTCTAGCATCACAAATCCCAAAACACGGCGAGAAAATGGTTCGCTTTCGCATGGGGCTCCGCATGAGAAACTTTTTTGGCATGCAGATTGGCATGACAACTCTGGTGTGGGTACGTTTTTACTCAGGATAGCTGTCGTAATCCCGGTTCTCCTTGCCCTCCACGTGGTATCAGAGTGCACAACTTCTCTCTCTAAGTCTGAGTGACGGCGCTCAAGTATTTCTACTGAAATTGATGGAGTAGTGCCATGCAAATAAAAGTAAAACGCAACGACAAGCACTGCATTTCAGCACTGCCTTGCCGGACAACGCCTGCAGCACCTGAAACAGCATCGGGAAAGACGACTTGTGCACTCTCATACGTGCACGAAGAGGAACGGGAAATCCATGTGATTTCGAATTCGGGACCAGTACCGGAACTGGGAAAACTGTATGGCGCTCTCAAATGTTACATTCTCAACTGTTACACGATTTGTCATGCAAAATGATCATGAGCCGCCAGACTATCAAGCTGCTTCGCATGACAAAGTCTCGAAGGGCTAGGCAGCGTCTAAATGTGATGCGAGACTTGCAAGCTCGCCCAACCTTTCCCTATTCGCTGTTTTTGCATCACAAATCCATGTAACAGTTGAGAATGTAACGTTTGAGAACGCCATAAACTGCTCCAAGCTGTTGTGGTAGCTGCCCGCGTTGTATCCTGTGCAAAAGAAGTATCGCACTCGTACTAATCGCAGTCACGCATTACAAGTTTCTTTCTCAAGTGGTGGTGGTCAAATCCCCATTACAAATTTCATTTCTCATGCTGAGGAAATTTGTCATGCGATTTCTACTAGTACGATACTTTTGCATTTCATATGTTGTTCATGCGTTGGTCATGTACGCAGGAGGTGGTCGCGTTGTTGTAGAAGAGACTGGAGTACAAATTCACCAACTGCGGGTGCGCGCGGTAGGAGACGCGGAGCAACACACAGCCCTTCTTCAGCAGTTCGAGTCGCTGCCGCTGCGTTTCCCGTTGCTGTGTCTGATAGGAGGAGCTGGTCGCCGCGGTCACGTTCGCGTACGCATTTTCTGGCTCGGCAGTGCCACGCGAAGTTGTATTCCTTGTTCCTGTCTGCGGCTGCTGGTGTCCTCCTCCCTTCTTCTTGTTGTTGTTCATGAAGGTGGCCAGCAGCTCCCGTTTCTTCGCGATCCGCTGCAGCGTCGAGTGGTGAAAGTCGAACTTCTTGCACACATTGGAGCGCACGACCGGCCCCAGCTGGTTCGGGTCGCCGCACAGCACCACCACCGAATCTTCGCCCGTCACCTTCAGCGGGACAGCGATCTCCGGCTCCAGCGCCTGGCCTGCTTCGTCGATCAATAAATGCGTGAAGTAAGGGTTTTTCTTGGCGGATCGCGAAATCTCTTTCCGACTCAGCTTCTTTTCGGAAGGATTTTTATTACCAACAGTTGTTCTGCTGTTTTGAACCCACTGATTCTTCTGCGTGTCGTAATACGCCCCCTGACTACCTGCTGAATCTCCCCCCACCCCCGTCACGTCCGGCCCAAAACCGTGCTGAAACAGCACGTTGGCAGTGACACACGTGCAGACGATGAGCTTGTAGGACTGGAGCTCCTCGCGGCTCGGCAGGTTTTGCGGATCGGAACCGCAGTACCCGTGCCCGGACGTCCCGTACAGCACCTTCGGGAATTCGCTTTTCAAGTCCTCCAGATCCCGGGACCGGGCGTTTAAGCGAAACATCTTGTCGTGGGTGACGCCGAGATCTATCAACCGGTCCACGACGAGATCCGCGCTGTGGTTCGAGGGCGTGCATACGAGAATTCGTGGCTGCTCTTCCGTGTAAAGAACCTGGTAGATCGTTTCCACCAGCGTCTTCGTTTTCCCGGTGCCCGGCGGGCCCCACAGAATCACCGGCGCGGACGGCTTGCACAACACCATAGCGACCGCTTGCTTCTGCTCCGTATTCAGCTCCGGCTGACGCCACCGATTCTGCTGGTCGTACGTCGCCACGCGATCGTCCAGAGACGAGTATCCTCTGCAAAAGTTTATTTACCAGACGACACCACCAAGAATAGATCCTAAGCCCAACTGCAACACTGTATGACAACAAAAGCCGTGCATACGCACCGTAGAGAAAATGTCACTGTAAAAAAGCCGATAAGCTTTCCAAAAGACGGAGCAATACGCGAAATAATTAAGTACAAAAGAGTCTCATAGAAGTTGGAAATTGGTGGCACTGTAGTAGAAGTAAAATAGACTTTTGTAGAGGATAGGGACTCGTAGACGACCACGCGATTATATGTGGTGACGCCTTGATTCTGTTGGAACGCGCTATTCACGTCTACGACAGGTTGAAAGTAGCTCACAGTATGGCTACCCTGTTGGTTGTACGGAAGCTGGGCTTCTCCGTAGACCGCATTGGTCCCGTAGTACGCGGATGATGATCCGGCCCCTGGGAGACTCGCGTAGGTCGGATTGTGGTACTCTGTTGCATATGGGGGACCTGGTGTTTGTTGGTGCTGTAACACGAGATGCTGGTTCGCTGCCGAGATTGCTGCCGCGGTAGTAGAAGCTGTCTGTGGCGCGAAGAAGTTGAAGCTGGGGTGAAAGATCTGCTGCGGTTGGTACTGCTGATTTTGCCCATCATACCCGACCGCAAGGCCCGAGACGCTATTGGTGTAAGAGTTGTTGCTCGCGACCACCTTTTCCATTTCCTTCTTTTTCGCAATTTCGGCACAAGTGTTGAAGTTTTCGTAATTCTCTCCAAACCACTCGGCCACGTAGGGGTGCCTGATCGCGTCGTGCATCACTTGCAGGGAAAAATCGTTCAGCATAAATCGCACATCATAGGAGTTATCCAAGTCCTCCGCGGAGCCAAACTCGGCGTCAAAGCTCGCAATCACGTGATCAATGTTCACGAACCACACGTACGCAACATAGGTTTTGTTCGCCGCAGAAGAGGAAGAAGTCGCTGTCGCTTTCTTGTTCTTTTTCTTCTTATTGTTGTCGCTTTGACGCACCCACAGCTTATCTCCCTTGAGCACCGACGGACGCTTCTCCGCCAGCCCAGGTACGTTGATCCGAAACAGGTTGCGGACCGCGCCGGCCTATGAAATGCAACTGATCTATCTTCAATCTGGGTCGTGTGGAAAGCCCACTTAGATAGAAAAGTACTTACTTAATTCATCAATAATACGCGTCCTACAGACCGACATCATGTCAGTTACAATGACAAACAGACTTGGAGTCTGACTCTGACACTGACTCACGCATGATTTATACAAAATTTGAAAATCTATTCTATTACATGCTCAACACACATACCTAGCGCGTTAAGTCGCACTTGCGCACATAAAGGCAAGCTTCTGTCGTTCTTGACACGGCTCTGCTTCCGCGCCATGCATTCAAAAAAATTGGAGGCTTTAATACGGCCGAGCATCGCCAAAAAGATGGCCAAATCTCTCCAGCAGAGGACCCAGATCGAAAACAATAACAAGTATCATTCATTTCCAATCCGTACTGCCACGGTCCTGGTCGCTTTCGTGAGTTTGATTTTGGTCAAATCGTACCACTGGATGTCCGCAAGCTGCTGCAGTTCCTCGGCGTAGAGCATCAGCTCCATCGTCCGCCGATAGTTCCACCGGGTCAACATTTTCTGCAAGGACACCGCTTCCGGTGGGTATCTGTTGCTTCGCCGGAACAGCTTGTTGGTGATAATCTTGTGTTATCCTGAGTAAAAACGTACCCACACCAGAGTCAGGATGGGGATTTTGCAACACAAACCTAGGAGTTTTGTGAGTCACGCATGACAAGTTGCACTCTGTAGTGTAGTGCAGGTTAGAAAGTGCAGCCGCATCACAAATCCAGCTGCTCATCCTGTTCACAGCATCACAAATTCCAAAACACGACTGGAAATGGCTCTCATGGGGATGCGCATTACAAGTCTTCCTGTCTTTGCAAATCTGCATTACAACTCTGGTGTGGGTACGTTTTTACTCAGGATATGTGTTCCCACTTCGTCATGCTCCAGGGCACGAGCTGGCTGTAGCTGTGCCACAGCTGCCATATGGCGTTCTCAAACGTTACATTCTCAACTGTTACATGAAATTTGTAATGCAAGAATGGCAAAATTGAAAGGGAAAATGTTGCGCCTTTTGCATTACAGGTTAGGAGCAGATTGTAATGCTATCTAGCGCGTCAAGAAGTTGTCATGCGGAGAAGGCTTGATCGTGTTAAGAGTGATAGTGTTTTTGCATGACAAATTCATGTAACAGTTGAGAATGTAACATTTGAGAACTCCATATGCCACCCGATGTCGTTGCACACAAACTTGTGCAGCAAGTTCGTGATCACCTTCCCCCTCTTCCGGTCGATCGTCTTCAGATACTTCTGCGGGATGAAGTACTTCTGCAACTTATTACAATGAAAAATGCCCCCACGACCCCCGAACTTGAAAGCATTTGTATTGCAAACCTTTCCAAATGAAACATTCGCCCTCTTGCATGTATCAGCATCACAGATTTCCGATCGTGAATAGCAAAAATTTGCATTGCAAAAGATCCCAGCAAGAGCGGCGCTTGTCATGCAAGCGATGCGAAACACGACTAGAATCTGCATCAGAAAGATTCATACTCCTTTCATGCATGCATGACAAAAAGTTTTCATTTGGAAACTTCGCATCACAAATTTTTGCAACTTCGGGGGTGGGGGGCACTTTTCACTGTAATACAACTTGCGCAGGTAGCGGTTCTGCTCCAGTGCGTACTGTTCCTGCTGCTGAAAAATCGGCCTCTCTCCCTCGATCACTTTCGTTTTGTTCCAGGACCATTCCGAAAATTGCCGGTTGGAGACGATGTCGCGCATCAACTCGAACTCGAACTGCTGGGAAAACAGGGACAATTGCCCGTAGGCAATCCGGACGATTTCCATGGCCTTCCTGGCCAAGGACGTATCGGTGCGCGAAAGGAGGACCAGGTCGCTGACAAAATACGTCAGCACTTCTTTCACTTTCAGTACTTGCTGCCCCCGTGCAGCTGTTCGGGAGCACGACTGCTCCACCGCCGCTGGTGTGCTACTACTGGACGATGGACCACCTCCATGATCATTATTTTCTCGTGCTGCCTTCGTCGCAATCAAGCGCGCGCAATTGTAGTCCAGGTGCAGCTGCGGATACCGCTGCTTTTCAATCAGCGCGTCGGGGACCGGCAGGGGAAGCGCGTCTTCTTCTTCTTCGCTGTTCCTCGTCGCCGCCTCCCCGGTCGGACCAGCATGGCTGCTCACGTGCACAACCAGCTGGTCCTTGTCCCGTCCGGCGATTTGAAAGAACTCCTTCACGATCGCGATGGTCTGACTCTGATCCATCGTTCCGCGTGCCTCATCAAACGCAACAAACCCAGCTCGCTGGAGCGTCGCAGCGTACTGCGTGTACAAATCGCTGTTGCCGCTGTAGTGCTCGTCGGTATCAACTGATAAAAACGATCTGGGTTGGAAAATGAAAAATGCACATGATCCATACGTGGTTCATCTGATTCTCGAGTTTACAGACCAATCACTTGTTCCAGACCCCATCGGAGCCTGACCACAAGTAGATGTTGTTTCCGTACTAGGCTTCCAATTATACGACGTCAAATTATCATGTACTTATTTCGCGTGCACAGCAAACAATTCCAGCCCTGTCAGAAACAACGAAGAACGAAAGTTCATCGCGCATTTATACAAAACCAGACCCAGATCGGTATAATTTTCAATCTTGCATAGTCGTTGGCCTCTTGCAAAAGCCCGCCGATTTCTTTGAAACTTTTCAACACGTCATCGGCCAACATTTCTAAGTCGGTGCCAGCGCCGAAGTTGGCGTCAAAAATGTCGTTAAAAGTTGTTTTGTACTTACTCAGCACAGCGGGGGCTTGCCCCTTGGCAATTTGATGTTCCAGCTGGGTTTGTTCCTTTTTGTTGTGCCGCGCTGCAGCCGACGTCGCTGGTCCACTAGATGACGTCGCAGAGCTGTAGTTATTCATGTGCTGCATGTCGTCTACGTGCAACACCCCGACGCCTTCGGGGACCGGAGTACTATCATGCGCTTCATCTTCCGGCTCATTTTCCGCCGCGTATTTCCGCAGCGTGTCGTACACGCGCTTGCCTCTCACTTTGTCACGCGCAGTCGAAGTTTCCGTACGGAGGTCTCCTGGTTTATTCCCCTTTGCTCCTGCGGCTGCAGCAGCCCAAACCGGCAGGTCACTCCGTCTCTCCTCTTCCTTCTGCAGGCCTCCGAGGTACTTGAACTTCGCCAGGAATCGCGCCAGCACCGTCGTCCGCTCGGACGGCGTCACCTTTTTCCGCGTGGTGTCGTGGCCGTTCCCGGAACCGCCAGGACCGCATGCACTTCGGCTACTGCTCTCATCCTCCTCGGTTTTCTTTCCTAAGTCAACGAAATCGTCTGAAAAATCGTCGACAAACCCGGAGGGGAAAATGTGGTGCGAGATAAACTCCTTCGCTTTGCCGACCTTCTGCAGGACCTGGAACTCCTCGACGTTGTCGAGAAGAAAACTGCGCCACTCATCCAAAACCAGATCGAACACCGCAATTTGAGTACCGTACCCCGGACTGGTTTCCGCTGCTCGGTCCTGGTAAGCGTTCAGGAGAAAGCTTTTCGCACCCTCCTCGTCGTCTTGTTTCGGGTGATGCTCCTCTGGAATCAAAGGTAAGAAGCACGTTCCCAACAAATGCCTCGACTCTTTGTTTTCCTTCTTGAGGAACTTCAAGCCGACGACGGAGTGATTTAGTCCGTACTTCAACTTCGAAGCGAAGATTTTTCTCGACAGCGCACAACTTTCCTTCTGCAAAGACGCCAGATGCCTTGCGATCGTGGCATTTTTATTCCTCGCCGAGGCTGCCGTGCGTTCTTGTGATGACATTGTGACGTCAACGAAGAAAGATGTGGATATCGAAGTATCTATTGGGATTCACTTAATAAGAATAACGGTCCAAATTTACCAGACAGGAGAAATAGAAGCTGAACCTCCTTGCATTTCTAAAAACCTATTCTTAAAGATATCAAACCTCGTTCACAATTGCGACATTGCTTTCTATGTCATTTCAAAGAAAGGCTCATGCAACTATCGTCGTGATAGCTCACACAATATCTTCCAGGAGTATCTACGCGACCCTCGAAACGCGAGGACGGGACCACACTGGAAAAAGCAGAAAAGCTTCATACATTCATATCTCGGTGGAACCGCGAATGCGTCAACAACACACAGAAAATTATCATCAAGATCTATTTCGGAACAAAACCAACAACTTTACTGCACTTTGACTGAAAAGATCTGCCTAGGATCATCTTCTACCGGAACTAGACTTGGGTGTGAGTGATGAAAGAAGAACGTCGGCATAGTCATAGCCAAGAGGATCAAGAAAAGCCAGGATCCTTCGGTTCGGGCGCGACCACTTTTCTAGAGCCATGAGAGCGAGATGAGCACGATGAAGGGGGAAAAACACGACAAAATTGACGGATCGGCATTATTGACTGCACGGCTTCGGCTACGGCTAGGTCATCTTTTTGACACACGACTGCCGCTGGTCTTCAGCGGGGGCCGGCGTGCGACACACATAGGTTGGCCCACAACATTCGGCTCGCTCTGATTTGTTTCGTATTCGGTCGCTTTCTCATTAGAAAGTAAGATATGTCGCTTCAATCGGGTGATCTGAAGTAGACATTGATTTGTTTTCCTAAAAGAAATCAGACTTCGCATAAAAAATGCATATCTGAAAAAAAGTTTGTTCATCTCCATCTCGTCCCCCGCTCAATCCACATCTTAAGCAGCCGGGCTCAACTTCAATATCTACGTGCCTCACTGTTTTGTAGTTGCAAGATTCGGAGTTTGTGTTCTTCCCAATAATAATGAAGTCGGTGTAATAAAACCTTAATAACTACTACTGATTTATTGAAAACGTTTATTTAAAAAAAACCTTGCTGATGCCGCTCGCCGTTGTCCAACACGCTGAGCCAAGCGACCTCAACTTCTGTACTACATCTGCATGATCAAGGTGTATATATGCCCTGAAGATTGAGCTCGAAGTTCCTAAAGCTGTAAACATCCAAATTAGAGTGTTAGTGGCGCCAGGTCGGTTTGGTTAAGTAAAATCGCAAACCCTTCAAAGAGAGAAAAAGCAACAGAAATCATTTGTCGTATTTGTGTTCGTATTTCATGAAGAAAAGCAATTCCGTGTCGTCGCGAACATTCTTACTTTGCTACCAAGCCTGTGGAGAGCGCTTGGCACCGAAAGAGAAGAAAACAAAGTCAGATGTTAATTTTTGGGTTTAGAAGAAGATGAAGAATCAAAATATTTTATGAGCAGCGTGCTACAACTTCATCGAAGCACATTCATTGTGAACTATAATATACTGAAATTCAAAAGATTGGTATCTTCTTCAGGGGCACGGGGGCAGATGAGAAATTTCGTGTGCAAAAATTCATTTATTCAGGTGATACTAGCAGAATATGCAAGAGGCCGAGGTTTTCTAGAAATGGCTACTCAAGAATTCGTTGCAATCATACTCAGTTTATGCCTTAGAAACATGGCCAAAAATAAATACGTTCGGGTTTAAGCAAAATTTCCGTTGTCTTATGCCTGGTAGTCGATAATTCGCCTTGGGCTTCTTTTTTTCGTCTTCGTATCCGTACTATATTTATTTCATTTTTATGTTTCAAGAGCGGCTCACTCATCTAAGTGGGAAAGTATTGCAATAGCAACGCCATCTTTAGTTTTCATTTTTTGTTTTATGGATACACAGACATTCATGTGGTGATCATAACCAGACCAAGACAACGTCAAAATTACTGCCTCTTCAAGTGCTTGCAATTGCAGCTACTTACATGGGTTCGCTTTTCGCAGTTCGGTAGTATCTACGATCTTTTTGCTAGAGTACAAAAAAAAGCATATCCATATATAGACAAGACTCAGATGAAATTGCTCAAATGAATGGCGGTGCCTTCTCTTTATCTTTAGCGGTCGTGCAAAACAATGACTTCGCCGACCCCTTTAGTGTCGAAAATGGAAGATCCTAGGAAATTCTAAAAAAAATAAGAGACAACATTGTAAAGTGAAGCTCCCTCATTTGCTTTTGTACCACACAAATTAATGTCCATTTTGCATTCCCGGAGGCGGGTGATGCTTTGCTAAAACTTCATCGAGATGCGAGAACGGGGGTCGAAGTTCTATTCAGAATCCTATCGAGGCTTAGTACTTCATTTTATCGGCATTTTCCCATTCCCCTTCTTGCTTGCATAAGTCGCACCACTCCCAGCGTGGCTCGCTTGCGGACCATAGTGGTAATAGCCGCTACCTCCTCCTGCACCCGGTCCCCCGGCCCCGCCTTGGTGGTACGCATGCACGTAGTGGTGCTGCATGTGAAATGCCGCGTTACCTTTCGCGTAATACTGCTGCAGCACGGGGCTGTTCCCCTGATTGGGCGGAGCCTCGACGTGGTCCTCGTGGACCCGAAGTCGGGCGAAATACGCGGACGCTTTCCGTTATGCGTTGCGAATATTTCAATGTCTGGGTGAGGTTGCATGTCAGTGAATAAAATTACTTAAGAAGCACAGTAAAAATGCAACGCGAAGCATGATGTCTTGTTCAGATTTTTTGTGTTTTCCGGATGAGGATGAGAAACTCCGCTTCTGCATGACACAGGAGACAAGAGGAGCTCTACGTCTACGAGGTCACGCAATACAGGGCCGCTCAGAGTCATCCTCATCGCCAGCCTCACCCTCTACCAAACTCTTCTAGATCTAGATCATGACGAACATGACAATCCTCGAAACCATCGAGACCCAGATGACATATTTGCACTCGATATCCGTCCCTTCATCGGGGGTGGCTGAGAACTGCTGCCATCAGTTGTCGCCGTCTGGCTTGCACGCGGACCCCCAGGAGCTATTGTACCAGAATTATTTGGAGGAGTTGCGGTAGTTCCTGTCCCACTTAGTACACCGGGAGGTGCGGTGGCACTAGCGGAAAAGTCCGGGCCTCCCACGGCGGAAGTCAAGGACGCCGAGTCCTTCGCAGAGCTCGTGCTTGTACTACTCATCGCCGTTGCAGCCCTGCTAGCATTCGCATTCTGCACTTGTGCTTGATGGCGCTGCTGCCGCTGCGCCATCGCGGCCTGTGTCACCAAACCCGACATCTGGGCGAGTAAGGAGGTTGGTTTCGAGGTTGTTGCTTCCTGTCCACCTCCACTCGGGGTCGTCGTCGTTTTTCTCGTTTCGGTAGCACTCGCGCCTCCGCCTTCGCCGGCCGCTGCCGTGGTGTAATTTGTAGTTCTAGTGTCGTTTGCAGCCGCAGCTGCACTGCCCGCGCTGGAGGAGATCTTTGTTCCGCCGGACGCGTCTTTCTGCTCGCACCCTCCCCCGGCCGCAGCAGCAGATGCTCCCGAACTACTAGTGCTGCCCTTTGAGGACGATGAGAAAAACGTCGCCGCACCCGGCCCAACAGGAATATCGCCAGCACTTGAAATCGTGGATCCAGCCATCCCGCCTTTTGCGCCAGCTGCGGCTGCAGCGACCGCTGCTTTTCCTTTTGCGATCGACGGCTGTGCAGCGGCCGGGGAGGCCGCCACGGAGGCTGCGCCGGCTGCGTTAAAGGCCGCTGCGGGAATCGCGGTAGCACTTTGGGAAACGACACAGTGTTGCGGTCCGAGACCACCCGCCTTGCCGACGCCGGCAACCGGGGGGTAAGTCGCGGCTCCAGGAGCCGCTGCTGCCATGCCATAGTACAGTCCGTGCAACACGGCAGGGTGAACTATTCCGCTCGCGCCGTGCATGCCGTACCCGTAAAGATAGGGCGACCCGTGCGGAAGATCATGATAACACACGGCCGGGCTGATGGCCATTGGGTTGGTGTTGATGGCCGCCGCCTGGTGCAGGTTATAGTACGTGTGATGTCCCGCGGCCCCTGGGGGACCCAGAGACGCAGCCCGGGAAGATGCCGCGGCGCTACTGGTCGCGGGACCCTGTTGATGTAGTCGAGAAGGTGGTGCAAGTGGATGATGCTGAACGTACGCAGCAGGTGCCAGGTGCTGCTGAGATTGAACTCCACCAACAAGCAATTCTGGATGATGCACACCGGCATGACCTGCTGCTACACCCGCAGCTGTACTGCAGCTACCCGCCAACACACCTGTATTAGCACCAGTGTATGCCCCCGCAACGTTCTTCGCGTGCGCGGCAGCTACTGCAGCCGCCGCAGTTGCACTGCCTCCGGGCGCGGCGACGGAACCGCCCTGGCCCTTCGCCGATTTGGTCACTGTATTACCGCGCGCCGGCGCCGCAGCACTCGAGTCCAGCATGTGCTGCGGTGTCTGCTGGGCGGGACCTCCACCACCGGAAATCCGCGCGGCACCACTTTTGCTGGCTGCCGTTGAGGTGCCTCCCCCGGCGCCCCTTTGTAGAACAACAGCAGATGAGCCCGTTCTTGTGTTGCTGGCGTGCAGCTGCTGCCCCTTGGCGGATTGGAAAGTCACGCTCTTCCCGGATGCACGTGCGTACACACTAGTTGTACTACCAGCTCCAGCCGAGGAGGGCGGCGCAGTGTTGCCTTTGTTGCTGTTGCCCTGCGCCACATTGGTGTTGCCGCGCGAAGAACTACCTCCTGCGGTATTCAGAGTTGTAGCAGTCCCTGCGGTGCTGGTAGAAGTCGTCAAAGGTTGCTGAAAATTCTGCGGAGTTGCCGTACTGCTCCGGTATGTCTCTTGCCAGACGGAGCTTCTACCCGACGCGTCCTCTTTGCTGACCGCATTAGAACTAGATGAAGAACTACCCTTGAAATTCTTGTTATTTTTTGCCGCGAGAGATACAGAAGCGCCTTTAGTTAATATGGTAGCGGGCGCGTGATTCGACGACACAGCCAGCGCTGCTGCAGCGGGGGTGCGTTTCTTTCCACCACTTCCTGTCCCCTCGCTGGAAGATGACGGGCTCGGATTTGCCAGAACCTGGCACGCGTGTTTGTTCTCGTCATCATTTCCCTGCATCTGCGCTGCGTTCCCACCACCTTCGATGTTCGCTAGGAGCTGTGCCTGCAATATTTGCTGACTAGTGGCCGACGAGGCCAGCGCTCCTGTGGGTGTGTCCGAAGTCGCGTCGTGGCGCACTTGCTCAGGATTGCAATCCAAAATTTCCGCGGGAAACCAACCTTCCTTGTTCATATTCACACACTTGCCGTACACGTAGTAATGATACCTTTGTTTATTCATTGACAACGAATGACAATAAACATGGCCGTCTGGCGTACGCGGTGATGAACTAGACCTTTCTATATGTACAAAAAACTACTACACTTGTTACGCAGTAGAGCTTGCTCGATATTTCATCTCTTCTAGATCGACTTCTAATATAATAAGTAACAATGAAAGCAGGAGCCAACAAGTAAGGTATTAAATACTTGTTGTATTCGTGACCAAAAGCCAGGGTGTTTCCGTACGGAATACAATGCCATCCTTTCTTCAACGCGAGGTACCCCTCTTCCTGGCCTTTGCCGTCATCGGTCAGCTCAATACCATGATAATCTATGATCACGCGGTGCTTCTTCTGGCAAACGATCGCGGGCGGAGGCGGCACGACTCTACTTGGCGCTTTGTTCATCAGCAAATTTGTCCCAATTGTGCCTCTGGTCATGTAGTTGCCCACAGCAGTCGCTCCTGGTCCGTCTCCGCCACGCGATCTGCCTGGGCTTCTAGTACTACCAGGTCGTCGGCGTCCATCTGCTTGTGTGTTTATTTTTTTTCACAATGAACAACAAACAAGGAAATGGCTAGGCCAGGTATTCCGGCAAGGCCTCGGCGGACGAAGCAGAGGAGACAACTCAGCCACCGGGGGACTCGGTACGTCGGTATCGGTGGACGTCGTCCACCCGGGTCCGCAGTTGTAGTTCTTCAAGTTCTCACACTCCCTCCTGCTTCCTGACGATTTACCGAGTGCGTGCCTTGTTTGCGAATGGGTTGAATTTGCTGAAGAAGAGGCTCGCCTTTGGTTTAAACCTCGCGGCCTCCGAGGAGGTCGAAGAGGGGATGAGCTCAAGTTGCAGGCTTTTGCCTGCAAATTGAGCCCGATACAGGTCGGGGCCCTGCGAAAAGGGCGGCCGCAAATTATCGCCCCGGAGGTCCGCGGCTCGGGACGACTCCGAAGAGGTGTCCAAGGACACCTCATCTGGAGGCCAATTTCGGAGGTGCAGACGTTTTTGGCGGCGCAGACAAACACGAGCTATCAGCCTCACTTTCCCCCCCCCCTCGCCAAAAACGTCTGCACCTCCACTTGGGGACCTCAGTGGAGAGGTGCAGACGTTTTTGGCGGAGCCACGTTTTGCGTCACAAATCTGAACCCTCACAGCACGGCATTCTGCCGATTCAGGAGCTCAGATTTGTGATGCGGTCCAGAAAGCTGACCCAGAACGGGTCACAAGAAAAGGCCACTTGTAATGCGAGACCTGCATTACAAATTGCCACTTTTGGCGGGAGGGGCTTCACGCCCAAGTACCTGGCTGAGGTCCGCGGCATGCTGGACAGGAGCATGACCAAAGGAACTACTTCCAGAACAAGAAGCCTGAGGACTAGGGCTTGGGCTGGCTACTAGGGGGCCTTCAAGCTCGCGCGGGAGCTTCGACCAAACGACGCAGCAGGAATGGAGCACAGCACCTCGGTCAAGTTCCCCAGCATGGAGGCCACGGCGCTCACCAGCGCGCTGCAGTCCGGGCGAGAAGAGAAGGGCGCAAACTGCACTACCAAAAATTTTGATTTTTTTTGCTGCAGACATTTTTCAGTTTAGTACCTGGGCTTCTAGTACTACCAGGTCGTCGGCGTCCACCGGGGAGAATGTGGCCGCTCCGTGCACCGAGGAGCCCACGACTCGTCGCGCTAGCAAAATTCGCGGCGCCGGCATCCGTCTCACTTGATGATCCTGCGTTTTGGCTCTGCCCTGTCAGCTGAATAGTTTGCCATGTTTGACTTCGGTCATAATTCGCGGTGGAGATGCCCGAAGACGTTGCTCTTGTGTTCGAAGGGACAGGAGCTGCAGTGGTGGTAGTGGCATGATGATCCGGGTGTAGCGGGCTCGTCGCATCGACTGTTTGTCAAGTTGATATTGATACGTTTGAGTATGTACTGTGACGTTTCAGTAAAAGAAATGCACCAACACCAACTCGTTCATCTGAAAACTTCGTCACGCAGGCAACATTTGTTCTTCGTCACGCAGGTGCAAAGCGCACAAAAAAAAACAACGCACGCTTCAAATAATGACGGAAGTGCTAGAGTACCTGTGGCCGCCGTGGTTGACGTGGTTCCGTTGCCTCCCAGCACGCCGGCCGCAGTGGTGCCAGTTGTACCACTAGTGCATCCTGTTAGGAGATCCACGCCAGCGCCCGTAACATCGTGCGCGCCGGCTCCAGACGCAATGTCACTCGACATTTGAGCCGCAGTGGCAGAGGCGGCCCCAGCTCCGACATAAATCTGCTGGTCTTCGTCCAGGGATGAATATCCAAGGGAAAAAGGCTTACAGATACAGACCGGATGTTGCAACTAACTTTAGCAGCAGCAGTCGCACAGCCACAAAACCTGTTCTGCGTATAGATGAACAGACTCGCTTCGCATGTTGAATGAGCAACAAAACTTGCAACGCGGCGATCGTCCTCAGGCGGGTGTACACGCATGCAAGTACTTGCGTCGGGAGCGGGACTCGCTAGAAGTATTTCGGGCATGACCACAGTGGTCGTTGTGTAGTGTCTTGCTTTTTTGAAAACCATCCAGTCTGTCTAACTGTACAACTACAAGAACACTAAGAGTAAGACTCTTTTTATTTGCATAATGAATTGCCCCACGCCAGCGCGCCAAAGATGTCGTGGCGTTGCCGTTTATCCTGTGCAAAAGTATCGTACTCGTAGTAATCGCAATTATGCATGACAGATCGCCTTCTTAAGCTAAAACAGCATAACAAATTCCATTTCACATGCTTATTAATGCGATTTATACTAGTACGATACTTTTGCAAAGCATACCGTTCCATCCGCAGAATGTCCTCCTGACTGAACATCATGTTACCCTTATGGTTCGTGCCGCTCGTCTCTTGCGAGGCTGAGAGTATCTTGTCAAACTCGTCCTCAGAAGATAATGTATCTTCGTTTGTTCCCAGACGACCATGATCCACTGCGTGACTGTGCTTCTTGGCAGTGGTCCCAATCATGTCTCCCGTTTTTATCTTGGAGGTCTTCTTTTTCTCCTTCTCTGTGACCATCATCTGGTGGCTCTTTTCTTCGATGCTGCTCGCCGGTAGGCCCTGCATATGAATTGCAAAAGTATCGTACTCGTATAAATGCATTACAAATTTCCAACTCAGCATGAGGGATAAAATTTGTAATGCTGATTTCCATTAAGGGAAAGACAAAGATTTGTAATGCATGATTGCAATACGAGTACGATACTTTTGCACAGGATACTGCATCAGTGGTAGCAAGTTGATGCGGCGCTCAATGTATCAAATGTAAAAATGTCTGGGTCTGGAAGAATGCAACTTGTGATGCTGCATCTGGACTCCAAAAAAATCTGTATTGCATGAGTAGCAAAGGGAGTGCAATTTTTGCTACGACGAGAAGGCATTTGTCATGCGGAATAGGCATCAGGAAGCCCTCAAAAAATCTGCATTGCTAGGGTATGCATCACAGACATCATGGCTCATGCAAAACGTGCATGACAAGTGTCAGAATCTTCCAGACCCAGACATTTTTACATTTGATACAATGATCTTGGTCTGGGGCTCGTGCTGCTGTTTCAGCAAGTCCAGCGCCGCGTGCAGGTCCAAATCCGAATCGCTAAGCGGTTGCAGGTTCGCTTGATTGGTGTTGCTGTTCTTGACGTTGCCATTTGATGAAGATGATCCCCCTGAAAGGTGTTGACCACTCTCCTTCCTGTTCTTATCGCCACTAGCACTGCTTCCCATGTTGGTGCTTCGTAGCCTGATTTTCTCTTTCAGGAGTTTCTCTGGACTGCTGCTGTAATGCAGAAAGTCCTCCTCCGGGGGTCGGGTCAAGGCTTGGAAAAGTTCCTGCTCGCGCTGCTGCTTTTGGGCCTCTGTCATTTCCTCCGCCGTAAGATACTCGATATTGGCTGACGTTGCCGGGACCGGGGAAATGAGTCGGCCACCACTCACAGGACGACCTGGTTCGTTTTTGGATGTCGAATCGACCGCTCCGGTCGTCCTGGATGTCAACATATTATCTTCAGAAACAGCTACTGGAACTACAACCGTCGTTTCCTTATCGCTCGGTGCTGGTTGTAGGACAACGTCTCCGCCACCACCGGTCCTCGCGGAGGTCGAGGCGGATGGCACCAGGCCCGCTGCGCGCTTCCTGTCTGAGGCCTTCAACGTTGCTTTTGCTCTCGCCGCTGTTGCCACGAGGACCTTTTTCTCTCGCTCGTCCCAGGACGACGACGAACCTGAGCTCGTGTATGACGACGTACTGTTACTGAGACTCCGCTTTTTCTCCGGCTGGTCAGCTTCGGTCGTTCTCATCTTCAAAGCAGTGAAATTGTCTTGGGCTGTGTTTTGCTTCTGCTGATTTACACGACCCGACGATGGTGCAATAAACTTTCCAGAAGTGGTGATGGTCTTTGAAGATGTTGCGCTGCTCAAAACTTTCGACGAGTCCTTCATTGTAGAGGTGGCCACTTTGCGTCCCGTTCTCGCCATGGAGGTCGACGCTACGACGTCTTCTTGGATGCCGGCGTCCTGGTCTTCACCTGTGGTGCTCTTCCTACTGTCATTCGTCACCGTAACTCGTCGAGCCGATAGTAGCGTAGCACTTCTTTCCTCATCGGCCCCTCTTGTACTATTTCCAGCTACTTTAACATTGGCACCACCTGCGGGTGTAGTTCCGGAAGGTGGTTGCTCAACATCGCTGGATCTTTTACTTTTCCCCGCCGCGACCTCTGTAGTACTACAAGAACTGCCTTGCAAATTGTAATGACCGGCAGGTGACACCACGACCTGCTGCCCGAAGTACACCTTGCTAGGCTCTCTCTTCTTCAAGAACGCAGCAGTAGAGGGACCACCTGCTTTGTTGAGCGGTAGAAGTGCAGCAGTTCTTGATTCTTGTTGCTGCCCTTCCTGTTCCTCGTCGCGCCTCGCAGCATCAGAGCTGGGGTCCGTGCCCTCCACACCGGTCGTAGTTCCATTGGTGTTTATTTCTCCATACACATTGGTCCTCGAAGGCGGGGAAAAGAGGTTCGGATCTTCCCCGTCTGCGTCGCTGCGGACCTCGTCTTCCTCGCCTGCGCGCGCTGGTCCCCTCGACGTCCCGCCATGCTCGGACTTCGCCGGCGTGAGTCCTGGTGGCGGAGGAGGCCTGCACAGCGGCGGGGGCGGGGGTTTCACCATAGGGGGTGGCGGTAAAAACAGGGTGGCAGAATCGGTGATGCTTTTCTTATGAAGATTGTCCTCGTGATCATCTGCCAGGTTACTGCTCGCCGAAAGGTTTTTATTGCCAAGAAGTCCGGGCGTGGTGGGGCTCATCTTGCTCAGGCCCGGCGGGCTGCGAGGCGGCGGTTCTTGTGCGAGTCGCTCCTCGCGAGAAAGAACCGCCTTGCTGACTAGTTGCTTGCTGTAGTTATACTTGCTAATCTCGTCTGGTTTTGATGTCTTGTTGCCGAGAAGAACGGAGGCAGCTGCTGTTGACGCGGCTTTGGCCTTGCTACTGGTGCTATAATTTGTCGCCTGCTGTTGTCCTTTAATGCTATGTGCTGCAGCGGCTGCGGTCGGTGGCTGCTGTACGGGAGGTACTAGCGGCGCGCCCCCCGTGGCCAAACTACCTTTGGTCGTGTTGTGAAGACCACGCTGCCAAACAGAGGCTGCATTGCTTTTGCTCGCTCCAGTCCAAGAAGACGAAAAGTGCGTTGCTGTGGTCGCTGTTTGACCGCGCCCAGAAGGAGCAGGGGCCCCAGCAACAGTGACTGAAGTGGCTGAGGACACATCCTGCTCCGGTGATCGCACCGGGCGACCAGACGCTGTTAGCACCTTCTTCGAACCGGATGCGTTCGTAGCGTCCGGCTCATGCGAAAACTCGTCGATCAGCTTTCTGGTCAGGTCAAACTCCGGTGAAACCGAGCATGACTGTTGATCCAGCTGCAACGTGCTGGGTTATGGCATTCTCAAACGCGACATAGATCGCTGCTCCATGCTTCTGCGCAGCTGCAAGGCGAGCAAAAGTGACAGGGGGGAGCTAGAGCTTGCGCGTCTTGGATTTTTACCGATTTCTTGGCAATGAACGCCATTTAGTGCGTGAAGAACTTCTTGCGTGCGAAGTAGCTTGATCGTGTCGTCAAATAATTTTGCATGCCAAATCAACATGCAACAGCGATCACTGTAAAAACGTTTGAGGAGCCCATACGGGGGAGAAATTGCTTCGGTCCTTTCCCCCGGACAGGTAGGTGGCGGTGGTGGATTTACTATCTTGCTTCGATGTCGCTGGCTCCGACAACCCAGGTGGGGGAAATGAGTCTAAGTCATCTGCTTCATCAGCATCTTCTTCAGCTGTGTACTTCTTCTTGTTCACCGGTTCCGCAACTACGGTGTCGGAGGTGGCGGAAAACACAGGAGCTCCTTTGGAGGTGGTGGAACTACTCAAAAAGCTTGATGCAACCGTCCCCGCTGGAGCTAGACCCCTGGCGGTAGCTGTCGTGTTATAAACTGTAAAAATGTCTGGGTCTGGAAACTTGTAATGCTGGGCGGCGTATCATGAGGAGGCTACAAGTGCTGGCTCACCATGACAAGTTTCTGAGCTTCTTGGTGTTGCCTATTCTGCATGACAAACTGCGTTTCTGCATGACAGAAAAATGGCGGTCTTGGGTAATGTGCATGACAAATTTAAGAGTCATGTGAGACAAGCATGACAAACTTGCATTCTTCCAGACCCAGACATTTTTACATTTGATACGTGTGCTTCGTCTTTGTCGCACTTGCGGGGGAGGACTTGTTCGTCATCGGGACAGAACTGGCCAGCGTAAGCTCCTCACCGTGTTCGCTTTCAGGGCAAGAAGCCTTGCTCATTTTTGATGTGCCGTTCTTCGTTTTGTTCGTGTAAAAATTGCCAGCACTCCCGAAAAAGTTGCTCATTGTCCGCGTTTCCGGAGAACTATTACTGCAGGCGACGTAATTCGACGTTGCGGTAGGCTGCGATTTTCCCGCGCTCGTGGGCTCGGATGTACTTGTTGGACAGGCGTTGACGACCACTTGGGAGGATTTTTCAAGGTCGTTGCTCGGCTTGGTGTGAGCTATTTTCGCCGAAGCAAAATTAAGGCCTTTCTCCCCGCTTGCACATCGCTGTGGTGGTTGTTCCGCAGAACCACGGGGGTTGCTAATCTGCAGCAACGGCGGCGAGCAAGCGGCACTCGTCGAGGACGACGACGAGATGTTTTTGTTATTGCCTGATGCACCACTTCTAACATGGTCACCGGCCCCCGCTGCAGGAACACCAGGAGCTGCACCCCCGTCTTGCACTTGCTGCTGCTCCGCATTTGATGTGGTTGTAGTTGATGCTGACATGCGTTCTTTCGTGATGTTCCTTCGCTCCTGGAACTTGGCCTCCCGATTCACCCGCATCTGCCACTCGCCGGTCCTCACCTTGTTTATGTACGACATCAACGCAGCCGACTGGTTGCTGCTCCAGTGCAGGGGTCCCTCCCGCATGACCGTGATGCGCTCGAGGTGGGTGAGTTTCTCGAAGGCCCGGCGAACGTTGGCGTCCAGCTCTTTGTGCACCGCGAGATAGAATCGTTCGTCCGGAACGAGGTCAAAGTTGTCCGGCCACTCCTGGAACGCCCGCCGGTTACAAACCATGCTCTATCGTATGTAAAAACGCCCCCACCCCATAGTCAAGATAGGGAATCGGCTAGACAAATCCACAAGTTTTGGCTCTTTCGCATGACAGATTTCAACTTGTGGTGTAGTGCTGTTTGAGCTACTAGTTCAACAGCATCACAGATCTAGTATGTCATGCTGATTGGAGCATGACAAATCGCACAACACGACTAGAAAATGCTTCTCATGGGGCTCCGCATGAGAAACAGTTTGGTTTCAGCATGCAGATTTGCATTACAACTATGGGGTGGGGACGTTTTTAAACACGATATGCTACGGATTTTCGTCATCAGCACCCCATTGGCGTTTCCCACGTTTTTCGCGCCCAGAGCCTGCTCCAGGTTGCCGAGCAGGAGTACCTTTTCGCCGTGAGAGAGGCGGTGAAACCCGTAGCAGCAGTCGCTGTTAGCCCGGAACTGGGAAAACAGTTTGGCCTTCATCTGTTCCACCTGCTCCGCCGTCTTCGGCTCCATCTCCTCGGGACAGTGCGCGTCCGGACACCGCAGGCCGAGCTTGCAGTCGCGGAGATTGCGGCAAATCTGGGTGGCGCGTTTCTCGGGATACACCTGGTGATTCCGAAAGTACAGCAACCCGTCGGGGCGTTCCCAGCAGTGCAGCTGCAGCTCCTCCACGGGCGGAACACGGATAGCAGGAAGGGCTGTGTAATATTTAAAAACGAAGCGGAGTTGCATTGACTTCGCTCTTTCGATTTCAGCAAACAAGAAACATTACACCAAAAGAACCTCATCGACGGGCAGAAACCCGCTCACAGTCAAAAGAGTTACGTCTGTCTCGGTCAAGTAGACTGAACCTCAACTGTTCACGATCGGTTGTTCCCAGCACTGTATATTACAGCAGAAAAAACAGAACAGCCTTGCAGCCTTTACCTTGGTTCTGCTTCGCATCCACCTTGTCCTTTTTGCGCTGCTTTGGCTGCACACGGAACGGCTCCTGTACTACCGAGGACAGGCTCGTGCTGGTGACAGCGGTTCGCGAGCAGGCGCCGGAATGCGAATGATCTGGTGTTTCTGGCGCGCCCTGGGCCTGGTCGCCGTCCTTTTCGGAGCTGCTCAAACACGACATCAGTGGAGCACCGGCGGCAGAGGCGCTGGCGTAATTGACCGAATGATTACCGATTTTGCTCTTGCCTTTGTCTTGCATTGCTGCCGAGCCGGCAGAACCTGCATCTGCATCCATCCCGATGATCCCCTCATTGCCCCCTACGGCGATCATGACTTCCCCCGACTTGGCTTTGTTCGCTTCCTTCTCTCCCCTGTCGCGCAGCTGCTCGGAAGGAAAACCAGACACCTTCTTGAGCGACGCATTGCCACCGGTCGTCGCAGACGCAGACGCGGTACCTGGTGTTCCTGCAGATTTCTTCTTCCCCTCCTTCATCATGGATTTGATATCGTTCATCCCGTCTTTCGTGGCTTCGGCAGATGCGGAGGCACCGCCCCTGGTGGACGCGGAGGTCGTCGCCTTGCCCGCTACTTTTCGCTTGCCGCTCTTCCCGACCACGACACTCCCCGTGGACTCCGGGGTGCTGAGCAGCTTGCTCGTCTCGTCGTAGTCTTTGTCCACCTTGATCCCGAACAAATTCGCCCAGTCGTGCTTCAGCGTATCCTCAAACGCGGCTGGCGTAGGCACCACGGTTTCTGAACTCAGGGCTGCCTTAATTGCCTCGTACTCATTGGAATACAGGTCAGAAAGCAGGTCCCAATCCCAAATGGAGAGCACGTCCTGAAAGTCCGTCTCCTGCAAACGACGCTCGAACAAAACCCAGATTCTGTTTTGAAAAAAAAAAATTCTCGGTATTTTTCTCCACATCGTTTGCCATTTAAAATGTTGAATTTCGATCAAGGCTTTTCTTCTGTGTAGTACCTAAGAACCTCGGTTGCCAATGCGTACGCTCATGATGTTGTACGCGCTATCTGTTTCATCTGTACTTATCGTCATACATGATTACTAGCTCGTAATAAGCATCACGCTCGTATTCAATTAGTACCGAAGGTTTCACTTCGTATCAAGCAGGAGGCGAGATAGAAACGGAAACACCATGTATGATCTTCATACCCATAGCCATCAAAAGGTTGTGTTTGAAACAATCTTGCTCAATCTCACCTGTTAGCGATCTCCATTCTTGTGTCTTGCGGCACCGTGGCATAGTTGGGCGGAGATTTCTTCTCAGCGGCGGCGCATGACGCACTGCGCTTCTGGTCACTCCCACCAGCAGTGCCCGACGTTTTCTTGCTTGCGGACGAGGTAGCGTCTTTGCTCAATGTCGTGTCTGCTGCGTTCTTCATCTTCGTCTTGCTTTTCTTTGCCTGTGGCTGAGATGATGTTGGTAGTGGCTCTTCATCACCAAAGGCTGCAACCGTGCTCGTGATCTGCTGTTGACGCAATTTAACAGAGGTAGTTCCCGTCGCAGCTGCTGCAGCAGTATGTTCTCCAGGTTTGCCCACACCTGCATCATTCTTGGAGTTAGTCCCTGCTAGCTGCTGCTGCATTCGTGCTAGACGCTTTTTCTCGCGATTTGACATAATTTTCGTCTCTGCAGGAGCCTCCTCCGCGAACTGCACACTGTTCTGCTGCAGAGTGGTCTTCACTTTTTTAGTGCCGTCTGCTCTTTTTTCTGCATCTTTCTCACCCGGATTCTTCGGTGTCACTTTCGTCGCGCTGCTGGAGGTCGCTTGATGTTGCGGATTTGTCGAAGCTGGGGACGTGGTAGCGTGCTCAGAGGTGGATATCACAACAAAAAGCGCCCTAGACGACAAACCCCCCACAGCACGGAAATGTTTGTCGCGCATGCTCTGGGCTCCCGAAGAAAGACGCTCGCTATCAAGTATTTCACGCTAGTTCATTCTTCATCTCGGAGACAGACTTGTTCCGCAGTGCCAAACTTGTCCATGGGGGACTTTTTATGGGGAGGCATCTACCTCGTGCGTCGACGTAGGCGTGGCACATAGCTGGAATAAAGGCGGAAATTGTGAGAACTTGAAAGATGATCGTACCAAGAAGCTCGGCAGTCTTAGCTCCAGAACAACTGCGGGCTTCATAGATTGATAGATAGCATAGTGATGTACAGTAGACATTATTCACGTACAAAATTAAGAGCATTAAGAGCTCGCCTTCGGGAGCGGAAAAAAAGGTTTTTTCATCTCGATAGGCGTGGGCGGATCTTCCGAGGCGTCCGAAGTTCTTTCGTCATCAGGCTCTTGTGCAAGAACCTCGTGCTGCGCCAGCATCTCTGCGGCGACAGTGTCCTGGCTGTTTTCCCGATCGATGCTCTGCTCCACCTTTATCTCACCTGCGCCAGCAGCTTCCTCTTGTTCCGCGCCCTGCTCATCCTGCGTCTTTTTCTTCTTCTTCTTCTTTTTCGGTTTGTTTTTCTGCAGCTCCTCCTCTTCCAGCAGCAATCGTTCAATCCGTTGCCGCTTCGCCTCGAGCTTGTCTTCTTGAAACTTTCGTATCGCTAACTTCTCTTCGGCGGTCACAGGCGATTTTGGGCCTGCAACTCCTGGAGCTGATGCTCCAAAAGACGACGTCCTGGTGACGCTTTGTTCAACAGCAGCGACTGCAGAACTACAGTTTTTGTTTCTTGACTCACTGGTAGTAACGTCGCAACTGCTAGTGCTGCTTGGGAAAGTACAACTGCTGTCCTCTGGCTCAATCACAATTTCCATGCCGGCGTGTTGCGAAGCGGAAAGCAATTTCATCTTCTCTTTGACAAGCTTCTCCGTCTCCGGGGGTAGAATCGCCTTTTTTCCGGTCGCCACATATTCCACCCGGTCTTCTGCAGCGAGCGAAGTAGACGGGAGTTCTTGTTCTTGCAGCTGCTCTGTACTAGTCTCCTCGGCGGAGGAACCTCCGGCGGGGGCCATCGTGCGTGCAGAGGAAGCAGTGCCAGCACCAAGAGGAGACACATTCGTCGCTGCACCTGCTGCCCCTGCCGTGGTTTTCGACTTCTTTTTGCGCAGCACCGGCACAAGGTCTTTCGGAAAGCATTCCAGAGGGATCTTGGACGTTGAGGTTGGCAACGAAGAGGTAGAAGGCGTCGACGTCGACGACCCCCCGGTCTTGCCAATATTAATCTCCGTGGTGTGTTCCCCCGCCGCCCCCGCGCGAACGAGGTTATTCATCACCTTGGTCCCCAGATGTGAGAATAGCTGCGCCGTGGTGCCCACTGGATCCACTTCCATCTGCTGTGCGAGCTTGTTGCTTTTTATCGTGATCTGCTGCTTCGTCCCTCTTTGCGTTGATGTAACGACAGTCGTGGTAGAAGTTGTTGTCGTGCAAAAAGTTGAACTCGTCGCGCCTCTACAACCATTGTCCTTGTCGACCAAAGTACTATGTGATCCCACCTCGTCCTCGCCAGGCGGTGGACCACATTCCTTCTTGGGAGAAGACGTAGCTGGCTCCTTTTGTTGTGCGGATGAAGCTCCTTGCAGCTCCTGCTCCTGTTCCGTCCCCTTTGGCACGCCTACCACAGAGACTCCTGAGCAGGTTGCAGCGGCCGAAGCCGTTCTGGTGTCTGAAGTTAGACGCGTTCTTGGTTTGTCTGCTGGTCCTTGTGTGCAGCTTTCCTGTTGAAGATGTTCCGAGCGGGATATTGAGGTACAACCATCAGGACGAGAGCTCGTGTTCTTTAAATCCGCACCCGTTTGGAAATTGCACGCGAGCGGAATACCAGAAGTTGATGAGGCCCCTTGCTTCCTCGTTGAAGCGTCAGAGGTGGTGGACTGTTGTGCACCAGTATAATGGCTTTGATGTAGTTGCTGCTCACGAACAACGTCACCAGGAGCCACGGCCTGATAAGTTGTAGCGCCTCCTTCTTGACTCGCCTTTTTCATGCTTTGCTGATACTGGTATCGAAAAGACGCGACAAAATCGTCCAGGCCCTTCAGAAAAGACTCCTCCGGCCCCAGCGGTCGATGTTCCTTGCGACTCTTCTTCAAGACCGGGGGATCTGCGGTTGCACCGGCCTGCAGCCGCTCGGGAGCTCCGACGGTGTGCAGAACAAGCTTTTTCAAGTCGCCCACCGTGGTAACGCAATTATCCGACTCGCCGTCCTTCCCGTCGCTTTTATTTCGGACGCTGTATTTCTGCGAGTAGAGCCGATCGTTCAGCCACCGGCGCTGTCGGTCCAAGTTGATATTGCGATCCAACTCGCGCCGCGCGTGTTCGTCGTCAGAATCTTCGTCCACTAAGCCATCTTCTGAGCTTCTATCGTCCTCAGAATAACAAGAACCAGCTTCGCCGCCAGCACACGAACTTTCCACATCAACAGAAGATCCTCCTTTCTTACGGTGCGCTATAATTCTCGCGTTCGCGCGATGATCCTCGACTTTTTTATTTCGGCTCGCAGCTTCTATCAGGCCCTTCGGCGCAAACTTCATGGCCAGCACGGGCAACGGGTCCATGATCCGCACGGCATCCCCCAGAAAAGTGGGAAAGTACTTCCGATACTTGCTTGTTCCTTCCGACTTGAAAAACGCCGTCCGCTCCTCGCACTGCTTGTCTACCACACTCCTCGCAAACTCGGCGAGCAGACGGGATACGCACACCGTGTTTTTCCCGTCCGGGTGCGCCGGGTTGACCAGGCTGGTGCACTCCGTGTCGCAGCAAGCAGCAGTAGTTGTACTACTGCGTATTGTAATATTTTTCGCGGACGCTGCTGGCGGTCCAGGAGATCCAGATCCCCCGCGGGGGCCACAGGCACTGCTATTCATTTCATCTTGCAACGGCGCGGTCCTGCTGTTCTCGTCTCCAGATTGCGCCTCCTGAGTAGAACAAGCATTGTAATTGTCTATCTTCGCCAAATATAATTCAGCTTCGGTTTGCAAGCAATAGACCTTTGCCATTTCATTCAGTTCGAGCAGCACAACAAACCGGTCTGCGACGCGGTCCGGAACATCCCGCCCGATCCCTACCTCGTCGAGGGGACTTGCTTTCACGATAAGCTCCCGTTCTAGCGCGTCTTTCCCGTTGCCCAGCAGCTCATACCGCATATCAAATGTAAAAATGTCTGGGTCTGGAAGACTCCAACTTGTCATGCTGGTTTTGGATTCTGAAATATCTGTATTGCGTGAGCAGCAAAGAGAGTGCAAGTTTTGCCACATGGGAAGAGGATTTGTCATGCGTTATAGGCATCAGGAAGCCCCCACAAAATCTGTGACGCTAGGGCATGCATCACAGACATCAGGAGTCACGCAAAATGTGCATGACAAACCTGGCAATCTTCCAGACCCAGACACTTTTACACTTGATACCGCAATCGGGAGCACAACTGGTACGTGAAGGCGTCGTTGCTGGAAGGTTTTTCCTATCCTGTGCAAAAGTATCGTACTCGTATTGCAGTCATGCATTACAAATCTTTTTCTTGAGGTGAATCAGCATTACAAATTTTATTTCTCATGCTATGGAAATTTGTAATGCATTTATACGAGTACGATACTTTTGCAGTTCATATTTTCAGCAGCACCGGGAGAAACCTCAGCAGAAACTTCCGCACGCAGCTATGGAAATAAGACCTGCTCGGCTGAACTGATCTCAAGAACTGAAATGTCAGTTACAATTGGTCAGGCGAAATGCAAACGACCTCTATGTGTTGTTGTAGGACTGATGTATTCGCGGTCTATTTAGAATGGCAGATACTTCGCCCATGAAGCGAAAGTGAAACTGAAACGGCGAAAAAGCACACTGCATAAACTCATATCTAGAATTTTATAAAGCTTTGAGAAGAGGAGCTGCAGCAAGTAGACTACTTACTCTGCTTGAGTTCCATTATTTGTGCACAGATAGACAACTACACGATCATTTCCTTCGGCTTTTCATTTTGGTACTTTGTTCCACCTGTTCTTGAGATTTTTCCAGAAGATGAGCACCGTTTGATAGCATTCCGGCGCGCGGTCTTGCACGAAATCGAACACTTTCAAATCGGTCTTCAGCTGCCGACACAGCAGAATAAACTGGGACTGAAAGTTTTTCTTCTGCTCCCTGGTCTGAAAATAGCCGCAAAATGAAAGGTTTTCTGCAAATATCCGCGTGCTGAAGTCCGTTTGTGCCGCGACGCGTGCGTAGCCGCATCTTGCGTTCCCCACCGGGCCCATGGATCTCCCCTGCCCGTCGGTCGCGGCCGCATGCACGGAAGTCAGGAGTAAAAACGTACCCAGAGTCCCTATTTCAAAATGCCAGATTCTTGGCTAGTAGACAAGTCTGGAAATCAGAATCTTATTCTTAGGCCTGACGACGCATGACCACAATGGATGTGCTGTGTAGTTCTTGTGCCTAACAGAAGTCCCCAGCAGTGTTATCCGGCTCAGACAACGAGACTGACGGATTTTCCCGAACACACAGGCCTCGAAAGTGAAATCACCGTTGACGGAATAAAGTGGGTGCACTAGCGCTAGTCTAGGGTTAGGGATGCACCTACCAGCAGCTCCTTTGCATGTATGACATTGACAGGGAAGATAGGTACTTCTACGTTTTTCCACAAGATAACGCAAAACTCGAAGACGTCGCGCGTGAGTGGCATTTCCTCGGAAATGAAGAACATGATCTTCAAAAGGAACTCAAACAAACGCGGGAGGAGCTGCAGGGAGGTTTTCTGGTGCTCGAGGAACGGCAACCCAGCGGGGCGACCAGCGACGGGGTCGTACAAGTAGTCCACCTGTTGCAACGCCACGTCGAGCCAACCCCGAGGCTTCCTCTTCAGCACCGGGTCACTCAAGTTGCTCCTGTTGTTCGTCGGGGGCGGGCTGTTCTTGTCCGCTGCGGTTTGCAGCTGGCTAGAATCCGAGCCCGTTGTTTCTGGCTGGCTCGCGGTTGCCGAGCCTGTCGACGGCGGGGCCCGAGGACCATTGTTTCGGTTCTGACCGGCCCCCTGCGGCTGGGCCGCCCCACCAGCTCCCCCTGTAGAAGCGCTCGTCGCCGCGGCGTTCTTTTTGCCATCCCTCGATTTGGCTGCTGGGGCAGCTTCTTCTCCGCCGGCACGCTCGAGAGACGTCCGAAAAGCTGTGTGCCGAAATAAAGGAGGTGCCTGGTGCTGTATCTTGACATTGCCAGGATTCTTGCGGACATGGTCTACATTTTCGTCGTGCTCGCGTTCTTCATCATGTTCCTCCCCGCCGTCGTCCAGCACTTGTAGCCGCGATGTTGAAAGTTCTTCCTCCAGAACTACAGGATTGTTCGCATGATCTGCTGAAAGCATACGAGAATCACGAGTGCCCCACGCGTCGTCTTCGAGTATCAGGTCGTCGCGCAGCAGATTCACGCTGGACTCGTCCCAGGAAATCACCTGGAGAAGCTGCCGTTCGGGAAAAGAGGAGAGCGTTTTCCAGAGCCCCTGCAACCCGTGAATTTCTTCTACGTCCTGTGTGTGCCCCGTAACCCGGTCGTACCGACTCACTTTCCCGAGGGCCAGGTAGCTAGTGTAGAAGTGGTCGTGCTCGTCGTCCTTCGGGGGGTTGGACGATGTTGTTGTAGTTCCAGGCGAGCTGCACTGGTCTACTTGTAGTTCTACTTCCGAAGGACAAGAACGTCGGACCACAAGCTCTTCTTCGAAGATCGTCCGAAGATCTGCTTGTTGCGCACCATCGCCGTCCATCCCCATCGTACTTGCGTGCTCACATTCATCGAAGAGCGACGAAAGGTGCGCGAGTTCATCCTGAGCTGCGCCTCCTCGGGGGGAAGATGCAGCTGAATCCGATAGACTTCCTACTTCTGGCACAACTTCACGGTCTGCAACGAGAAAGTCACTAGATTTCGCAGGCGAGGATGCAGCGCGGGCTCGTTTGCCTTGAACAAGATGTTGCTGCGCCACTGTTCCCCCATCGTGCAGCTCATCGTCGGAACAATCCCTTGAGGCGTTTTCGGATTTTCCATTCTCGGGTTCCTCCTGCATCAGGCTCGCTACTACACAAGGATGCTGGTGGTGGTCTTCATCGTCCTCCGCGGCCGTCGTGGATTTTGTGTTGTCTTCCTTTGTGTTCAAAATTTTTCGCTCATCCGCTTCCCGGAGCTGCAAGTCTGTTGGCTTCACGACAGGAGGAGGCTCCGGCATCAGTACCTCAGATGCACTGCAGCTTCGCCGCGGGGGCTGTTGTACCACCTCCGTCGACGACGACCCCACTGGAGTTAGCTGCTCGAGGATTTTTTCGATCTTGCCGCGGGATATTGGCGTCAGCGCATCCACGTCAATCTCGGTTCCCCGCTCGGTGTGCAAGATTGCAGGCCTTCTGATTTCATTTCGTTTGTTCCCGGCTTTATTTATTCCATCTGCATCTTTAGAAGGCTCCTGCAGAACCCCGACTTGCTTTGGTTTATTTAATTCTGCGATTTTATTTCTTGTGCTGTTTTCGACCTCCTTTTCGCAGCTGCTGCCAAGTTCGGGCTTGCGGGCATTCGCGACAATCGAAGCTATTGTTTCGCTTTCGGCGAATCCAATGGTCGTGCTCTCGCGTTGCCAATCCTCGTCGTGACTTTGAGGTTGGTGCTCATCTACTTTCCTCTCTACTTCTTGTTCATCTTCTCCATCTCCTGCTTTTTCTTGCATCAAATTCTATGGATGTGTCAGGATCGAAATCGGCAAAATCGAAAAATTTGTGATGCATAAAATGTAGGGCACTGGAGGCCTGTATTGGGGAGCAGGCAAATGAGACCGATTGCAAGCCTGTTTGGCGGTATGCAATGTGCTGCCAGAGTAGCATGACAGGAGCAGTCTTCTTTGCCCAAACAGCATGACAGACTGGATTTGAGTGCTCCCGAAATTTGTCATGCGCCACTTACAAACTGAGGCTCCAACTGGTATCGATTTTATGCATCACAAATTTTTCGACTTTGTCGATTTCGATCCTGACACATCCATAAATTCTTTGCGTTTAGTATCTTCTTCGCTTTCGCCGCCTGCTTCTTCCGCGCTCGGGCTGCTTGCTTTTTCAGCTTCGCCTTGTCTCGGCCGAAAAGTTGGTCGATGTGATTCTTGTGAAATTCCAAGTCAAACCGGAAGGGGTTGATCGTGGGTGACGCAAGGGAAGTAGATGAAGAGGAGGCGCCGCCTGCGGCAAGCGCCAGCAACCCCGGATTCAACACTTGCCCCGGCTATCAAATGTAAAAGTGTCTGGGTGGTCTGGAAGAATGCAACTTGTAATGCTGTCTGCGGATTCTAAAAATATCTGTGTTGCATGAGCAGCAAGAGGAGTCAGTTCTTGGCACGCTAAGAGGGAATTTCTCATGCGTAATTAGCATCAAGAAGCTCTCAAAAAATCTGTGATGCTAGCACCAGCATCACAGACCTCACGGGTCATGCAAAATGTGCATGACAAGTCCCGACTCTTCCAGACCCAGACATTTTTGCATTTCATACCGGCGTGATAGCCGCGATTTCGTCCAGCCGCCGCTTCTGCCACCGGGTCAACTTGGGCGGGAACGAGAAGGCATCATAGTGAAAAGTCCCGCTTCTAGTAGTACCCCAGAAGTTGGAACCACTTGCGTTGCAAATTTGATATTACAACCGGCCTCGGGGATGTCGTAGCGCTAGCCGCAGAGCTTTTTGGCCCAGAATACCAAAAATCTGTGTATGCAAAACAGCCTAATAAGACCATGGCTTGTCATGTTGTAAAATGTGCTTGGCGCGCGTAGTACACTCGCTCCGACTTACGGACGAGACTCGTAGTCCTATTGGTTCAATTTCATTTTCATATCATGCTATTACTATTTATTCGGCAGCGCAGACAGCATTTGGAAATTATTTGCCACGTGAACTACTTCTGGAGAACTGTTAATTGCATCGTTTTCGCTCTGATACGAGGACACGGCAAAATCGTTGTCAAACGAGCCCCAACAGCCCTTGGCGAATTGCGCTTCTAGATCTTTTATGAAATGCAAAAATGTCTGGGTCTGGAAATTTGTAATGCAAAAATGTGCATGATAAAGACACTTTCGTATGCAGGAAAGCATGACAAGCTCGTAGAGCGCCTTCTCATACGAACTCTGCATGAGAAACTGCGTTTTTGTATGGCATGAGAGGCTGCCACTTTTGTTGGTCATGCAGCACAGAATTCACAGGTTCGAATGCAGCGCCAGCATTACAAGTTCGCATCCTTCCAGACCCAGACATATTTGCAATGCATATCTTTCAAGAACCGGTTGTAGGCGTTCCGCACGCCCGGCTCGTCTTTCGAGGTTTATCCTGTGCAAAAGTATCGTACTCGTATTGCAATCATGCATTACAAATCTTGTTCTTGAGGTCGATCAGCATTACAAATTTTATTTCTCATGCTGAGGAAATTTGTAATGCATTTATACGAGTACGAGGCATTTGCACAGGATAAGGTTTTGTCACTGCTGAGCCGCTCCGGGGGGCACCGCATCGTGCCGGCGAGCAGGTCGGGGAACCCGGTGGAATCTTCCACTGCATGGATTTCCAAGACGGAAATGTGGTGCCGCCAGCGCTCGTTCGACAGGTCGTAGACGTAGGTGGCGTTATCCTCGATGGTGCGGAATACCTGGCCGACCAGGCACTCCTTGGGTGGAATGTATTGCATGGAAAAATCCCCCCTTGCCATATTGAAAGCGCATCCTTCTGAAAATTTGTGATGCAGATTTGTCACCACAAATCGGGTTTCTCTTGCAAGGTGGCACGCTCAGGCTGTCCGCCACATTACGCAGGCGATTTGTAATGCTGTGAGGCCTGCATGGTAGCCGTCTACCATGCTAGGCGCCTACACCAAAAGGCCTTTGCCTAGGCTTAGGATCTGGGTGCAGTCCTCTACTGCAACACAAATGTGATGTGTGTATCCAAATCCCGCATCAGAAATTTCGCTTTGATATGAGGCAGGGGGATTTTTCCTTTTGATAGAATGAAGCGGAACCCGAGCACGGCCATGTGGTGTTCGTATCAAATGCAAATATGTCTGGGCCTGGAAGGATCCGAACTTGTGATGCGTGTTTCGGATCCTACAGTGATCTGTGATGCAGAACGTGCAAAAGGTGCCCACTTCTGGCCATTCTGAGCGGGCATTTCTCATGCAGAATACGCATCACCAACGAGCTGCAGAACCTGTGATGCTGCGCCCTGCATTCCAGACGTGGGGGAGCTTGAAAAAACAGCATGACGAATCTCGGAATCTCCCAGACCCAGACACTTTTGCATTTGATAGTTCGTTGTTCTGCTCGATTCCGATCGCACCGCCGTCCGAGCCGTCGTAGAAAACGTAGTTGCTTTCCGACTTCTGCCACCCCATCGCGGGCTGCAAAATTTTCTCCTGAAACTCCTGCATGTCCATGGTGCTCGGGACCCTTACGGTCCGCGTTATGCGCATGAAGCCGGGGCTCTCGGTATCAAAAGGAAAAATCTCCCCACCCCATATCAAAACGAAGTTTGTGATGCTGGATTTGCGTACACAAATCAGATTTGTCTTGCAGTAGAGGAGTGCAGGCATATGTCAAGCCTCAGTCGAGAGGTTTTGACGTAGGCGCCTAGCATGACAAACGTGTATGCTCTAAGCCAAACAGCATGACAAACCGCCTGCAAAATGCGGAACGCTTTCTGGACTTGCCTTCCTGCAACACAGACAGGATTTGAGGTCGCAAATGCACATCGCAAATTTTCAGACGGATACGCTTTCGATATGGGGAGGGGGGATTTTTCCTTACGATACTCGGTGCGGGCCACGAGGCCGCGGTTGACAAAGCGCTGGCTGTGCGTCAAATTCGGATATGGGGCTCTCAAACGTTACATTCTCAACTGTTACATGATTTGTCATGCAAAATGACCATGACCCGCCAGACGATCAAGCTGCTTCGCATGACAAATTCCCGGAGGGCTAAATAGCACTGTAATCCGCACCAAACCTGTAATGCAAGACGCGCAAGGTTCTCCCTCTCACCTGTGCTAGTCTTGCATTACAAATTCATGTAACAGTTGAGAATGTAACGTTTGAGAATGCCATATCGGACACGAAGCTGTTGTTGAGTACGCCTCTTTAATAGTATTGTGGTCCACGACGACCTTCGCGGCCCCAGGAGGGTCAGCAGCACCGGCAGATGAAGACGAGGAGGCAGTTCCTGTCGTGGATAAGGACGCGGCAACCGAGGTCTTCGGGTTGTTCATCTTCTTCGCCCCGGTAGTCGTAATGTTTGCCGCTCCACCACCGGGAAGTAGAGGTACCTTCCCCCCGGCCGTGTCGAGCAGGGTGATCAGCAGCGTGAGGTCTCGTTTCAGAAAAGTCTCGCTGTAGCGCTTGCTGTACGTCGCAAACTCCTGAATTTTCCGGCTCATCAAAATATCGACGAACTGAATTTCCGGTTTCGGCGGGCCGTCGCCGTACGTGGGCGGGTACCACGTCTGCGTGTCGACGCCCCGCATGGTCAAGGACAGCTGTGAGACCTCCGGCTCTAGGTCGAACAGCCCCCAATTCTCCAAGGGCACATAGACCCCGGGCACACTGCTCAGCCGCCGCTTCGGCTGCCATCTGTTCGGGTCTTTGCGGAAGACGCCGGCCAGGTTTTCCCCGGTGTCGCGAGGATGAAAGATCACGTAGTCGGTCAACCTGGTTTCGATTTTTACATATGTTTATCGAACGTTTATTTCCTTTCGTGTTCAACGCAATGTCCTCCTCCTGCTGGCGCGCTGCACTTGTCTTCAGAAATAACTCAACAACTGGCGCTTCTCGCCCCGTTGAACATCAGGTGCTGGCGTACAAAATATATTTCTACAAAACTTTTTCAACAACACCGTTTTTGATCGAAAAAACAAAAAGTACTGCTCCCTATAGATGCTTAATATCAATCTACGTGAAAAGTCTGTACTTGTTGCAAAACAGCGAGGAGATGAATTTCGCTTCTTCCCGCAAGGTGTAGTCCTTTTCCAGCTCGACCCTCGCTCGTTGGAAAACCTCCACACCCACCTCCCGCCGACACTTGAGCAGATCTTGGTAGTGCGGATAGGACTTTTCGCACCGCCGGACAAAAAACTCCACGATCGCCCGCGCGGCCTTTCCCTCGGCGTTCGGGTTCAAAGCACAGTACTCCGCGACGGCTCCCCCGTAGCACAAGACCTGCGACACCAAGCTGCTCGGCTCTTCCGTGTGTTTCAAAAACACCCGGAGTAGGTCCAGGAAGCCCTGCCGGGGCAACTCAAGCAGCGAAATTCGCATGCCCTCAGTGAAGCCCTCCGGCATGTCGGTGGGAAATCTTTTGTTCTTCACATCTTCCGTCTCGCAGCACCTACACTTGCATATCACCCGAAAAATAAAAAATCGCGTTGTCGATCTGGGTCGTTTGGAGCAGAGGCAATGCAATAGATTATGCGTGACAATATTTAGAAAACGCAGCTTTTGCATACTTATTATAGCCAAATCGAGGTCATCCTCCGTACTGGTGGAGATCAAAATATTTCCTTCAAAATACGAAGAGAAAGGGGTCGTCTTTTGTAAAAACGAAAGCCACGGCATGGGCCATGCGACCCCTTTGGCGGGACGAGGGTGTGGCTTTTCAAAAGCCTGCCTAGTTACCCCGTATGACCACAAGTTCACGTCCTCGACCCTTCTACTTCTGCAGTTGACACAAAATGAAGAGCTTGTTATCGATCTTGCTTAGCCCTGTGCACCGGGATAGATTTGCATAGATGGGCCACCAGCTGTTGGAACGACCAACTCCTTCCTCGAGCCACCAGATCACACAACAACTTCTATATTTTCAGTGCATAGTGGAGTCGCGTTCCCAGTAATCCTCGTCGAGATAACGTGCGGGACGGTTAATCAAAGGTACCTTGGACCGCTTAAGAAGTACGTTCCGAAAGTTGAATACCTGCTGAATATACGCGTCCAACAGGAAGTCCGCGCCCCGGGACTTGCAGGACTGGTACGCTCGGCTGAGGCCTACTTTGCGCGTGACCTCCACCATATCGGTAATCTGCTGCGGGCCGAGGTTCGGAACGTGCGTGGTCGCGGATGAACTACGAGTTATAGAAGTTGTCCCGGCGAGTGATCCACCACCTGCTGTCGAGGGATCTACTGCCTCGTCACGGTCGTGGTCTTCGCATGATGTGTTCTTGTTCTTCTCATCATCTTCCCGGTAGGTGGTTCTTCTAGATGCTGTGCCAGCACCTCCGCGGCCGCCCGGCGGGGTCGTGGCTGTACCACAGGAAGGGTCGTTGCTCGCCGCTGCCAGTTCCGCGTCGCACTCTTTCAGCCGTTGCTCCACCAGTCTCGGCACCGCGCTCGGCACCAGGATACTGCTTCCGATATCGTCTCGCACTCCCCGAGTTCTTGTGGTGGTCGTGCTGCTATTTCTACTACCCGGATCCAGACACCCACTGTAGTCCCCGGAAATAATCGCGCCGCCACCGGGGGTGGACTGGTACGTCAAGTTCGGATTGTTCATCATCGCTTTACGGTAGTTCGCCTGCGTGCCCTCCACGAGGTTCAGGGAAAACAGATTCTTTTTCAGGTGCTCGTGCGCCTGCTGGTTGTGCAGCTGCTCGGGGTCCCGGCCGTTGCCATTGAGAAACATGACCATGTACTCCTTGATCTTGGGTGCCAGGTCCCGGTCGCACAGCAAGTCCTGCAGCCGCTGCTTGCTCCCCCGCGCCTCGCGCCACGTACGGCGGATTTCTTCCTCGGTGAAGAACACCCGCAGGCCGCCGCGGCGCACGCGACACGAAAGCAGCTGCTCGATCAATTCCACGTTCAACAGCGTTCGCAACTCCGTCAAGTACTTCTGCGGCAGCCGCAGTGTTTGCCGCAGGTACTCCCAGGGGCAGGGCCGCGGGTCTTCCTTTTCGCCAGGCCGCAACTCGGCGGGTTTCAGCTTCAGCGCGTGCCGCAAGCCGCGCGCCGCCATCTCGTTCAAAGCCAGTAACGCGTAGGGCGCCAGGTCCTGCAAAACCTCCCGCGCAACCGCACAGTCGCTATGCGTTGCAAATATCGATCTGGGTCTGGACTTGTGTGGTCGCGACTAGATTTGCATGCGGCATCAAAGGTCCTCTATAGCATGAGACAGGATTTCAACCAAGTTTCATGTGGGTTGTAGTTGTACCACGCAAAACTTTCGGATAGTAAATTCGTTTTGCCGAGAAGAATCCAAAAGCTTGTGATCATGCTACGTACTAATTCTGCATCTGCCGTGCAAGTGAGTATCTATGCGGTCGCATAGAAAAAAAGGCAAGGACTTCTGAGGGCAAGGAACTACTAAGCAGGACGCAAATCCTGTGCGAATTTCCAGTTGTACCAGACGGATTAGCTGCAGTCGATACATGCCGTTCCGGTGCGACTGGTTGTTTCGGCCGCTCCAGCCGATCTTGTCCTTCCACACTAATGGGGTCGTGTCTACATCTTGTTTGCTTCCAGAAGTCGCCGTGGTGGAGCCTGGGGACGGCACGGAGGACGAGGACAGCGACGTCGCGGAATAGGTGGTCGCACTCGCAGCAGTGTTCCCAGAACCTTGTTGATCCTTGGTCTTCAAT